TAATTCTGAGATAAACAAAAATAAAAATAGCATTAATTACCGTGAAACACAAGAAGTATTAATTAATCTTTTAAAATAATCTAAAAATTACAATCTCATGACACACCGTTGGATAATAAAGTTTGTTACTATATGCAAAAATCCAAAAAAGAACGGTCTTTTAAATGTAGTAACTAATGGTTTGTTTGTTTTGGGAAAACAAATCAATATATATATATATATATATTAAAAAGGTGATATTTTACATATATTAATAATTTTTATATTATCTACAAAAAATTTTATATCGTCACATAAAAATTATTTTTTAAAACCATTTCATAAATCAAACAAATCTTAACCTTTGAGCATTTGGACCAAACATCGTAAATGAGCTTTAGGGTAAATGGGCTCAGGAAAAAGTAAAGCCCATTAATTACATTTCAGATAATTTACTATTTAATTATTTTCTATCATTTAAGTTAATATTTATTTTTTTTTATGTCAGCAAAACTATTCATATTTTTTATTTAGTAAAAATTTATAATATTTATATAAATATATATTACTATAAATGATAAAAAAATAATAAAAAAGTACACATATTAGAGCTTATATATAAAAATTTGAACATATTTTTAAGTGATCTGAAATATAATTTTTAAGTAAAAATATAATATAAATGCTTTGGTTATATTTTTTTAAATTAAAATCAAATTTATTTAAAAGACGTATCACAAAAAGTCTTATCAAAATCCAAAAAACAACCACTACTTTATGATAATATAAATTTTCCAATCGTTCTAATTTTAATTTTTTTGTCTGTCACACTTATTTCATTAGTCAATATTCATAATCCCGAAAACAATTTCAATGTTTTCTTTATAGGATTTAAAGTTGCGCAATTAAATAATGCATATAAGAAACCAAATACATCATATATGAATTTTATTTTTATTTTTTTAAAAAATAGCAATCAATCATAAGCTATCGATGCAACATCAATGATTATCTTTGGACGAATTATAACTACTCACTCGTCAGTAATAAAATTGTTTTCATAGTTAAATATTAATAATAAAGTAATGTATTAGATAATATGTTTATCTTTTTAGATAAATTTATTGTTCATACACAAATAATCAAATTAACATCAGTACATTTAATGCCATCAAACATGGATTCTTTGAGTCAATCAACAATCTTATAACTTATATAAACAATCTTTTAATATATAAAATAAACATGCATGGAACTTAATTAATTGCTTTAGTAACATACTGTTTTAACCAATTCCTAAAATGTATCATATTACTCCTGCTAATTTAAATTCACATAAAATATACATATATTAATCTCTCACATAAAAAAAAAAAAATGAATGCAAATAATTTTTGAATTCCATAAAAATAATTTTTGGAATAAAATAATTTTATGAAAAAGTAATTTTCGAAAAATAAACTTGCACGTATATACATGATTACACACATATATATACGGGGACGGAACTACATTAGGGTTTGGGGGTCAGACCCCCCAATCCAAATTTTTTATGATTTTTTTTGTATTAAAAATATTAGTTTTTATATATTTATATACAATTTATCCTCCAAAAACTATCTAAATTCATATATAATTCTTTCATTATTATTTATTTAATTTTATTAGCAAAATATTAAATAAATTGTAACATTTTACCCCCGAAATTTAGATGCTAGTTTTGTCACTATATATATATATAAATATTTGCGTGTCTAATTCTAACGGAACAATTAATTGTTCTAATAAAATGATCAAACTAATTATGCAATCAATAATCAAGTTAATCATCAATAAAATATATTTAAAAAAATCAAAGTGACATCTTGATGACAGGTTCTTCCGATGGATATTGTATCAAAGTAAATCAAAAAACAATGCATCCAAATAATTTTAAGATTTGACAATTTTATTTTATAAACCAAATTAAAATCAGTCTCACATACAAGTCAATTTAATAAACTATTAAAAAATTAACAATAAAGAAATAATAATAAAAAAATGACACAGATGCTAGAATTTACAATATATATGCATCATATAGCATATTTTGAAATCATCGGACATGGTGCATATATATAATATTTTGCTTGAAAATTTCAATTAAATGATATATTATATATATATAAATAATATCCTCCATTATATTGTTGGTCTTGTTATCGAGGATTCAGCTCCCAATCTATAATTACAAGGACCTGCTGCTATCCTATGTTTCTGCACTTGGTCTCGTTGACTGATGGTTAATCATTACTAGTTATCGCCATATTTCTCTAGCTCTGCTTCTTTTCTCAGACCATTCTTCGTCTGTTGTATTGTTCTTCGATCATGATTTCAAGAAAGACACTTCTTTCAATATTTTAATATGCCCGATTTCGGAGTGTATAAAATAATATTATTATGCCAAAAAATATTTTTATAATATTTTGGAATTAAAAAATTAATATTCTGAAATAAATTTTATTCCTATTTTATATATTGATTATGATTGAAAAGACTGTTAAAAAAATAAATATCAATAATAATAAGAATAAGAATATAATATAATATATATATAATAATTTAATATAATAATAATAATAAGGATGGTAAGGATAATAATAATAGTAACGTTACTACTAAAAATAATAATAATAATAATGTTTAATATATATATATATATTTATGTAAAAGCAAAGCAAACAAAACACATTAAGATGCATTAGCAGAACCCGAACAAAGAGAAGAAGGAAAAAGATTTAACCATTGTATTTCTTGTAATACGTAGAATTTAATTATGAATTTTAATATGAATTTAGATATTGAAGATATTAAATTAGAAAATTTTCAAAAATTCATAACTGGCTATTTGGCTATTTAATCGACGAATTTCTTTAGCTAATAGCCTATCCGTAGTTCTAGTGTTATATTCTGAGAATTTCGCATCATTCCAAATCGGATTGAAAACGGCAGTGTACTGCATCTACCTGTTTATTCATATCTAGTATTTTTATTTAATAACTGGGCAATATAAATATTATGAGTTATAAGGGTTTTATAGCTAGAATATCGTATTCTACCAAATATAAAAGTTTGAAACCCAAGGAGCTAATTATAGAAATTAGCTTTTGAATAAGCAGATAGCTCCTATGAATAAGCATATAGCTCACCTGATTTGAGTAAATAATGGGGCAAGTGTATGTTGAAGGAGATTTGAATGAGCACTAAAAAAAACTCTTGATTTGCGAGGGAAAAATTCCCTCGAAAATCAAATTATTTCTTTCGCAAAACATGTTAGCGAGGGAAGTTGCGAAGGAATACATGTCATCGCTATACACCTGCTCGCTAATTTGAATCCGAGGAAAATTCCCTCGCAAAAGTTTGTGAGGAAATTTAGCGAAGCATCGATTCCTTCGCAAATGTTTGCGAATATATAATTTTCCTTCACAAATTGATTCGAAATTTGCGATGGAGCTCATTCCTTCGCAAATATCCATCGCAAATTGATTCAAAATTTGCAAGGAAGTTCATTCATTTGCAAATATCCATCGCAAATTGATTCAAAATTTGCGAGGAAGTTTATTCCTTCGCAAATATCCATCGCAAATTGATTCGAAATTTGCAAGGGAATTCATTCCTTCCCAAATATCCATCGCAAATCATTTTACAAATTATCATCACTAGTTTATTTAAAATTCCTATACTTCCAGTACAATTACAAATTAAAATATATTCATTTTAAATTCGTACACATGTCTCAAACAAACACAAACTAACATTATAAAAAATCATTTTAACCATCCAAATAGTAAGCACCATGTAATAGAAAATAAACTCCATCTCCAATGCCCTAGTATATCCCGCCCACCTCGAATATCACTCATCCACTTGTTATAGGCCTCTTGTGCCCTAATATTAAGTTTCTTTAAGACCTTTTCCTCATGAGTTGGATCCCACCTGATGTACTCCTGCATTGATTAGAATACACAATACAAAAATGTTAGAAGAAATAGAAGTGAATCTAAATTAGTATGTTAAGAATTCACATAATTAGTTGACATACCTTCATCTGAGTCGTATACCACCGGTGTGTATCTTCCGGTACGGAGAGCCGCTTGTTTCCTTTCTTCAGTAATTTTGATTTGAAAACATTTCGGAACTTAATCGAAGCATCACGTGGCCAAAAGATGCTGTAAGTTTTATACATTTTAAACTAATACTACAATACCAAGTTGAATGCTAGCAAAAGGATCTTAGACAAAAACATACCTCCCACCCGACTCGACTCTCACTTCGACACGTGGGTCGTCTTTAACAACAATATCCGCTTGAGGATCTCCAACACCTGTTCAAATAAGAACTTCATGTAATAAAAAAAATTTAACTATACATGTTCAAATAAGAACTTCATGTAATAAAAAAAATTTAACTATAGCATTCTCATAAAATTTACTTACGTGATGTGGTAGCCTGTGTATTCTTGGCCGATGTAGTATCTGCAGACGTACCTGCATAATGAAACTATCCCGAAGCTTCTCAAAGGATGCTTCGTGACTTGCCTCCCACTTAAATGGAATATTCTTCTTTAAAAGGGAGGTCAATGGGGCTGCTATCACACTAAAGTGTGGTACGAATCGCCTAAAGAATCCACACATTCCAAGGAACCTCCGGACATCGGCCACACTTGTACATTTTTTCCATTCCCGGATTGCAGCAACCTTATATTCATCAACCTTAAGACCATCTGCACCTACAACAAAGCCAAGGAAAATAATTTCATTAGTGCAGAAAATGCATTTCTTTAACGTACCATACAATTTAGCATTTCTTAATGCATGAAAAACTTGCCTAACATGTCCTAGATGGTCCTCCAAACAAGTACTATAGACAAGTATGTCATCGAAGTATACCACCATAAACTTTCCAATATATTCTCTCAACACATGGTTCATCAACCGCATGAAAGTGCTGGGTGCGTTTGTCAACCCGAATGGCATGACTAGTCACTCGTACAACCCAAACTTAGTTTTAAAAGCTGTTTTCCACTCATCTCCGGGTTGCATACGAATTTGATGGTACCCACTCTTTAAGTCAATTTTTGTAAACAATCGTGCTCCATGCAACTTGTCAAGCATATCATCCAATTGAGGGATTGGATGTCGGTATTTCACAGTAATTGCATTGACGGCCCTGCAATCAACACACATACGCCATGAATTATCCTTTTTAGGGACAAGTAAAACAGGTACAACACAAGGAGATAAAGATTCTCGAACCCATCCCTTATCAAGAAGCTCTTGGACTTTTCTTCGAATTTCCTCACTTTTTTTTGGATTACACCTATAAGCTGGCCTATTGGCGATTGATGAACCTGGTGCAAAATCAACACGATGTTCGATGCCTCGCAATGGTGGTAATCCAGGTGGTATATCATCCGGAAAAACATCCTCAAACTCTTTAAGCAAGTCTACAAAAGGACGAGACGAGTGAGAAAAAGAATTATCGTCAATAACAAGTACTTCTTTGAGTAAGAGAATATAAAAGTAACTTCCCTCATCTTGGTTACTGTTTTGGCGAACTTCTTTGTTGAACTCTTTGAGACTAAGCATCAACTTGCTATCGTCTCCCTCGGAAGGTTTTGCCGAAACGGTAACAACAACCCCTTTTGATTTTTCCACATCTCGCATAGTCCTATGTAAATGTTCAGCATCACGACGGATGGTCTCGAGTGGAAGGGCGAAAATGCTCAGCTTCTTGTGACCTTTAGTGAACGATATTTGATTCTTATATCCATCGTACAAAACACGTCTATCAAATTGCCATGGTCGTCCCAAAAGAATGTGGCATGCAGTCATGGGACACACATCACAAAGGACATCGTCGCTGAAACCACAAACCGAAAAGGTAACAATCGCTTGTCTATCGACACGGAGAACTCCTTCATCGCTCATCCAATGTAGGTTATATGGTTTCGGGTGTGGGGTGGTATTCAAACTCAGCTTCTCGACCACATAGGAACTAATAACATTGGTGCAACTACCCGAATCCACTATCATGGATATAGTATGTCCCGCTACCTTGCAATGACAATGGAATAGATTTTCTCGCTGTCCCGTATCCTTATCTTCGCGTGGTAAAGATATCAAGGCACGCATGACTACTAAATTTAATGGATCCTCATCGCACACTTCTTCAACGTCTTCATCACTTCCAGCCTCTGCTTCAGCCTCTACTAGCTCATCGCCCTCACCATCATCGACATATCCCTATTCGCCATTCTCCAAAATCATAACGGTTCATTTATTGGGGCATTGACCTGCATAGTGCCCTTGTCCATGACACTTATAGCACGTTACAATCTTTTCTTTTTGTTGTCCAAAATCCTTTCCTTTGAACTTCGCAGCCTCATCCTTCTTATCAATTATTTTATATTTTTCTTTATCCATATTTTTATCGAAGGCCTTAGCGAAAACAATTCCTTTAGATCCGGTAGAAGATACAACCGGAGCTACACAACTGGTTGGAAACTTTCTTTGAGATGAGAATCCAGTTGAGGTTGGTCTCTTGAGCTGCTCCTCGCGTTTGATAGCCAAATCCACAGCTTCTCGAAGAGAACGAAAACGGTGCAGCTCAACCGTATAAGCTATCTCACGCCTCAAACCCTTAATGAACCGAGCTTCTGTCAATGACTTGCTCTCATCAATATCCAATCGCATCATCAAAATCTCCAATTCCTTAAAATATTCCTCCACCGATTTCGAACCTTGCACCAAGGACTGCAACTTGATATTCATATCTCGTTCATAACTTTGTAGCACAAAATGCCTTATCATGATTTCCTTCAACCGGGGCCAAGTATCAATCGGATTTCATTGATGCCGTTCTCTATAACGTCTCTCCTTCTCCCACCAAGTCAATGCCTAATCCCTAAATTCACAAATCGCCATTCGGAATTTCTTGCCATCCGAGTAATTATAGCAGTCAAATGCCATATCGCACTTCGTTGTCCAATCCAAAAATTCCTCTGCCCCTCTTAATCCTCCAAAGGTGGGAAGGGTAATCCTAATGGTAGAAAGATCGTCATCCACTTCACCACGTCGATGATAAGTTCGGTCTCGTTCATGGAATGAGTGCTCTGAGTTACGACTATTGTGTGCGTCTGACCTCATTGAAGGACTCACATCACGATGACGAGAAGCTTCAGCTGCATCATATCTACCCCGAATATCAGCTACTCCAGAAGGAACCCCAGTCCGTGCCGTCTCCAAAGATGTCAACCTGTGATTGAGGTCCTCCATTTTCTTATTCACAGTGTACTCTACATGATCCCAAGTTGCCCTTTGTTGCATGGATAAAGTTTTTATCATTTTGGCCTCCAATTGTTGCATACTCGATTCCAACAGCTCCTTCAATTGTTCGAAAGTGGCCATCCTGCATACAAAGACAAACTATATATATGTATATCGAAAGGTAAGTGCTCTCACTCTCTCTCACAACTCTCAAAAAGGAAAATCAGAAGCAACCACAATCAAAACAGAAGAAGCGTTTTGCAAATACCTCAAACAGTACGTCAGAATTCCTTCAAATGCAATACTCAAGGAGAAGTAATGTCGAACAAAAAAAAGACGCATCAACTAGGAATCAAACTAGAGGATTCGACGCCAAACTATAATTGTAGAATGTAAAGAAAGTGTGACACAAGTTCTTATTCCACAATTAAGCAACATGCTAGAATCGAAATCCCTAGCACATCATTTGATCATGACAATCTCTCCTAACTCAAAAGAACCCCCACAGAAGGATAGAACTACTTCCTCAAAACTGATTTAGTGACTCTCAACTATGATTATCCAAATGATCGACAAAACACTATAAAAAGAAGAGAAAGTGTGCTGCTCAATTTTTTTTTTTTTTTGTATTTTTTTTTAATGCTCTAGGCTTTTACTTAATGTTTAGAGTGGGCCTTTTTCTAATTTATATTACCAGCTTGGCTCTTTTATTGCACTTTTGCCACACTCCTCAAAAACAGGACACAATGCACTATAACCAAATTCAAATGCTATTTCAGAGAGCTATTCAAAACCAAATCTCACGATTCCAAAAATTACAATCAACTTCAAGGATTCCTAACAGGAAAGAAAAGAATCACTCAATAATTCCAAGCCAATTGAGAGCAGTAAATAGAACAATTCGACTGCTCAAAACAGAAAATAGAATGTTGGACCCAAGATTTTCAGACTGACCAAAAACTGTCTTCCGAGTGTTTTTTGAATATTTTGAGATCACAGCACGGTTATAGAGGACTCGATTCCGATTCCGAAACCTCCTCACAATAGTAAATCAGAGTTCGTATGCAAAAGTTACGGCCAAAATACGATTAACCGACAAAACTCACAAAAACACACTTCTAAGCCCTCAATTCACTCAATTCCATGATCATTTGATGTGTTTAGGCTCAAAACCAACCATATTACTCAATCAAGGTCTAAGAACACTTAGAAAACTACGAACAAAGCTTTTTAGCGCCAGCCAATAATCACTACTACTTGTGTTTCTAGAGAGACAAATTCAACAATACAACTCATGTTTGGCAACTAACAATGGATTGGAACTAGTTATCATTTCCACTAGAGAGGGAATTTTTGCACCAACGAAATGGCTATTTCCAGAAACTATGAACTATCTCCAAATAACATGAACTAAACCAATGTTCTAACACAAATTTGATCAAACAGGACATAGCGACATATTATCGAACATGTTGTGAACAAAATTGCTACGAAATCTTATGATCAAATCAACAACCGCTCTGAAAACAATTTATGACATAGATTAGGATCATCTCCATGAATCAAACTCGAAGACAAGTATCTAATATGTATTCAGGAACTTACAAATGCTGAATCGAAAATCGAAATAGAAATAGGATAAGTTGAATTCCAAAAGCAATCACTCATCTCGAGCAAGCACTTTTGAGAATCCACGGACTGTCCGAGGCTGCCGATGCATCTTCCGTCTCTCACGCAATTGCATCCGAAGCTCAACAATCGAATTGCCCTCTCGGCGGATGGAATCACTCCAACTCTAAGGAATCTCTCCAAAGCTAGGTTAACCCTCTCTAAAAAATGTTATCATCTAAGTTGTGTCCATCAAGAAAATAAACAAGGCTATATATACTAAATGACAAATTAATCTAAGCCACACATCTTTTAAGTGGCAAGCTAATCTAAACCACACATTTTGATTAAGATCAAAGGATCACAACCTCCAAGCAAACAAGTAGCTTCGACCAGGTTCGGGTTGCAATCGGTCCGTCTAAGTTCAGGTTCGGGTGATCTGGAGCCGTGTCAAACTCTGTCAAGATTTAGCACGGATGGAAATTGAAGTACTTGGACGGGGCATGACACGGGGATATTTGCAAATGATGCAAGTTGAGCCTGAAATTTATGATCACATTAGAGTGGCTCAAATGGAAAATAATAAGATGGTCGAGCTGGCTATAAAAGTTCAATACGGTTCAGACTCAAAACTTTAATATTGCTTCAGCTGGGAGTCTTCGGTTCCATGGGAGGTGGTGTATCCCAAAGGACCGAAGCGATTTGAAGGAGCAAATTATGAGTGAGGCTCATAATACACCATATTCAGTGCATCCATGAGGGATTAAAATGTATTAAGACTTATGTCGACATTTTTGGTGGAAAGGTATAAAGAAGGATGTAGCCAAATTTGTTGCACAATGTTTAAACTGCCAAAAAGGTTAAAGTAGAACATCATAGACCAATGGGGTTGCTACAACCTTTAGAAGTTCCACTCTGGAAATGAGATTCTATTGCAATGGATTTTGTGACAGGACTTCCAAGGGCGAAGTCGGGAACATATGCAATTTAAGTGATTATAAATAGATTGACCAAGTCAGCAGTGTTCATCTTAGTACGTATGACTTTGAGTATGTAGAAGTTGGCCAAATTAAATGTTCATCATGTGGTTAAACGATACGGTATTCCTGAGGTAATCATATCGGATCGTGATCCACGTTTTCAATCTCGATTTTGGCAAAAAGTTACGTTGCAGGAAGCCTTTGGTACTCAGTTGCATATGAGTACTGCATTCCATCTAATGACTGATGGTCAATCAGAGAGAACTATCCGTATTCTGGAAGATATGCTAAGAGCTTGTGTAATAAAATTTCAAGGAAGTTGGGAGGACCACTTGGATTTAGTGGAAATTTTCATATAATAATAGTTATAAAAAAAGTATTGTAATGAATCCTTTTGAAGCTCTTTATGGCCGAAAATGCAAGACTCCTTTAAGTTGAGATGGTATAAGTGATCGACTGATATTAGGTCCATAAATGATCGAAGAATAAAAAAAAAAAAGATTCGAGTTATCAGAGAGAAGATGAAGACAGCTCAAGATCGCCAAAAAAAGTTATGCCGATAAAGCCCGACGTGAGGATCAATTTCAAGTGGAGATTTCGTCCCGGTGAAAGTATCTTCAATGAAAGGTTTTAGAAGGTTTGGAATTAAAGGAAAATTGAGTCCGCGTTATGTTGGATCCTATGAAATCATCGATCAAGTTAGGATTGGCCTGATCGGTTAGCACTTCCAAATTCCATGGAGCGAATTCATAATGTGTTCCATGTATCACAACTTCGTAGGTATGTCGCAGATCCTTCTCATATTTTGTCTCCGGATGAGTTAGAGCTAAATGATGATCTTTTGTATGAGGAAATGCCTCTTTCGATCATGGACAGAAAGGTTCGAACCATGAGGAACCGAGATATTCGTATGGTAAAAGTAATGTGGTCCCGGCATGGAGCAGAGGAGGCCACGTGGGAAGTAGAACAAGAGATGTTCAAAGCATACCCACATTTGTTTAATTGAATAGTGTTGTTATGCGTTTGAGTTTAGATTTCGGGGACGAAATTTTTTTAAGGGGGAGTGAATTGTAATGCCCCGATTTCGGAGTGTATAAAATAATATTATTATGGCAAATAATATTTTTATAATATTTTGGAATCAAGAAATTAATATTCCGAAATAAATTTTATTCCTATTTTATATATTGATTATGATTGAAAAAGACTGTTAAACGAATAAATATCGATAAAGATAAATATAAAATATAATATATATATATATAATAATTTAATATAATAATGATAATAACGATGATAAGGATGGTAAGGATAATAATAATAATAACGTTACTAATAATAATAATAATAATAATAATAATAATAATAATAATAATAAGGTTTAATAATAATAATATATATATATATATTTATATGTAAAAGAAAATAATAATGTTTAATAATAATAAAATATATATATATTCATATGTAAAAGCAAACAAAACACATTGAAGATGAAGAAGCAGAACGCGAAGAAGGAGAAGAAAGAAAAAGATTTAGCCGTCCAATTTCGATTCCGATTTAATTATACGTAGAATTTAATTATAAATTTTAATATAAATTTAGATATTGAAGATATTAAATTAGAAATTTTTCAAAAATTCATAACTAGCTATTTGGCTATTTAATCGACGAATTTCTTTAGCTAATAGCCTATATGTAGTCCTAGTGTTATATCCGGAGAATTTTGCATCAATCCAAATTGGATTGAAAACGGCAGTGTACTGCACCTGCCTGTTTATTCATATATTTAAGTATTTTTTATTTAATAATCGGAAAATATAAATATTATGAGTTATAAGAGTTTTATAGCTAGAATATCGTATTATAGCAAATATAAAAGTTTGAAACCCAAAGAGCTAATTATAGAAATTAGCT